TGTAAATAGGGATTGTATTACAACAAGATTATAGGAAAATAATAATTTTAAATAACAGTGATAATTTTAATAATATCAATCACTTTTAACCATTTTATTGATAAGTATGAAATAATTAAAATATCTCAGTTTTTAAATTTAAATTTAAGGGGTATGTTACTATGGGGATTGACCACCAGAATAGTGACTAAAATAATATTATTTGTACATAAAAATTGAAATATATAATCGTTAAAATTCCTTGGATGTCTGCAAATGGACTGTACATAAAATAAAATATATAGTAAATAGTATTATTTATAGTTAAAGATATCCCATCCATTTCTATACAAATTCACGTCATTTAGATAGTGAGAAGCATTGGCCCAAAAAAACAGAGAGAGACACCAATATGGATATATTTACGGACTGCCAATGTATCCCTTGAATAAGGTTATAGGGTAAAGTAGCAAAATTTAATCACAAATTATTTTTTAACGCAAAATAAATCACAAATTCTTAAAAAAAGAGTATCACTTATTTGCCGTTAACTTTAACTAATGGACATTATGTAGGACTCACAATGACAAGTGGCACAACATGGGTACAACACCTCAACATAATAAAAGTATAAATTTAGTCACAAATTATTTTTCGAGAAACGTTGGGTAGCCTTTATTATAAAAAAAACAGATCATCTAACACCCTCCTCTCAATTTTGACCAAACATCATTTATTTTCATATTTATGAAGCTCACAAAGCATTAATATCTTCAATTTTCTTGCCTTTGTTCTCAATATAAGTTTCAAAAGAAGAGGTTTAATGAGTGTTTATCTGAAAACATTCACAAGGACGATACTAATGAAGTAAAAGTTTGATTTTACTATGCATGAGAGAAGTTTGATTCTAGCTTAATTTAATCATAAATTATTTCTTCTACTTTGTTAGCATCGTTGCCGTAAAACTCTTCAGATAAAAACTTTTTAAACCTCTTTTTCTCGAACTGAGATTGAGCATGAAGGCAAGAAAATTAGAGAGATTAATGATTTATAGGCCTTGTAAATATGAAAATAAATGGTGTTTGGTTAAAATTGAGAGGAAGGTATTAGATGATCCTTTTTTACAGTAGAAGTTACACAAGACTCCTCAAAAAATAGTTCGTTACTAAATTTATACTTTTACCATACTGACGTGTCATGTCCATGTCATGCCACGTGTAATTGTGGGTCACGCATAACGTCTGTTAGTTAAAGTTAATAGCGGGCTATTGGATATTCTATTTTTAAAAGTTCATGATTTATTTTACACTGTCTGATAGTTTAGTACCAAATGCTCCTTAAAAAATAATTTATAACTAAATTTGCACCTTTGCCTTAAGATTGTATGTGCTACTATTTTCTCTTGAATAATGATGTGAGAGCTGTGAATGGCAGTTTATACTTAATTCATTTTAAAATAGCTGTCATTTGAGTTCATGCATGTAAATCATTACCTAATCTTTATATCGTTGCGATTTATCATAGTGTTTTCAAGAAAAATGTGATGCTCCTCTGAATAATGATATTAAGTATTGACATTCTCTATTCTCAATTCACAACCTCTCTCAACCCTTCCTTTTTCGTTGTTCTTTGCAGGCTTCCTTTTTAATTTCCTACCATCCTTTCACTGGCGTATGAAATTTTTGTTTTTCTGGTCTTTGTTTGCTCCTTTTTCATAAGCCCTGTCTTATTTTTTACTTAATTCTCTGTCTATTATTCTTCTTTGAGCATTTTCTAAATTTTTGTTATTGCGATATTATTTCACCATAGAAAATTTATTATTGATATTATATTAGAAAAATAAGCTTATCATTTTTTAAAATATCAGGCTATTTTCTATTTGATAAGCCGCAGATAGGACTACCATGTACTTATTTGAAATTTATATTTGACTGCACATTTTGTTTGCTATAAAAACATTAAATCTCTATAAGTCCATATAAAATGTGTGCGGATATAAAATTTAAAAATGATTTTCTCTATTTCAAGCCAAAAGAAAAGAGAGAAAAAAAATATGAAAGGAGCGCTAGACTTTGAGTGTGCTTGGTTTGGGAAAGTATTTTAGTAGAGGGGAAGGATAAAGAGTCAATCATGCCCTGTTTGGATCAGAAAGAATCACATTTAAAGTTATTTCAAGAGAATTTATTATAATAAGAGTCTATCAATTTTGCATCATATATTATTTTATAAAATCACGTATAATAGCTGAACTTTTACTTATTTTTAGAAGATATTATGTGTTTCATAAGATAAGTAAATGTTCAGCTTTTAATAACAACATATGTAAATTTATTAACTATGAAAGAGAAAGTAAATATTTTCTTTTAAATAAGAGTAAAATTAAAAAAATTATTTTATTTTCAAAAAAATATATAATTTAATCACTTTTTTTTAATTCTTATAAAATAGTTGAGGGTGTTTTATAATAACAATCTAACAAAGTATTTTGGAACTTGATTAAGATTCATAAAAACACGCATTGAACTCTCTAGCACCGAAAGGCACGATCTTGGGTTTGACTTAGAAGGATCCCAAATTTAATTCCACTTCAAAAAAACAAGAAAATATCTGAACTACGTGCGCGCGCGCGCGTGTACGAAGATTTTGAAATCCTGCTCTGAAATTTAAACCACACGTGATAGCAGAAAGAAAACGAAGGACGAAGACTGGGCTCATAAGACAATTTAAGGGAAAAGTTCATGCATATTGGCCTCACGGCCATCGGGCCAGTTAAATTTAATATAGTTGTCAGCCATAAAAAATAAAGAAGATCTAATACTCGCACATCCTAACAACAAACACAAAGTTTGAAATTTGTAACATCGAAGTGCTGCGGGAATCTAATTATAGCTCGATTTGGAATCTAATTAATTAGCATACTTTCACATACTTTGGGTATGTTGCGACTTTGTCAGGATTTTGAGCAAAGAAAGGCGAAGCTGGATCAAAAATCAGAAGTCCCCACCAGCAGAGGGACCAGAGTCCAGAGGACAAGAAAAAAAAAAAACGAAGCCCGCACTTCATCTGCTGGTCAGCGAAGTGAAGAAGAGTCGATCTGCCAGGGGAACAAACAGGGAAGCGAGAGGGCCTCTGTCAACTTTAGGTTCGGGGGCGGATGAAACCATGAATGAGAGCTTCTATTATGTGTTGTTTGAAAGGATTTGCGTGTGGGTGATGACTATACAGAGTTAAAATTAAATTAGACATGTTATGTCTGAAACATATTCGATGCATCTTTATCCTTGCTAAGCAGCTGGATGGGTCAGATTGGTAAGCAGAAGTTGGCCAAGTCAAGGCCTAATAATTATGTATTTGACATTCTACGAGTTTGTCCGTTTCTATTAGCTTTATGTCTGTTCTTCACTCCCCTCCTGCAATATCAAATTTCAGCATCTCTTCCCTGTTAGCCAATTTTATAAGATTCCTTCTATTTTAATTTTTAACCAAGCATCAAACATTGCACTCTTCCCTTGGCTAGATCCTTGTACCTTAACAAATTTTGTTTTCGAGATGTTGACAAGGTTAACTGTACATATAAAGCTCTTTGGCATCTTCATAAACCATTCTTTTGTGGGTCTTTATCATGTATAGATTAAAAGCATCGACAATATAGCTACACTATTTCTGAAGCTTGGTGAAGAAAGTCTTGTATCATTCGTACTGCTGATCTGCTGAATCCATAAACGACATACAGAGGCATCAGCGTGGTCAATTTTCTGCATCTTGTGGTAAAAGGAGAATTGCATACTTTTTAAAAAAATTATTCACACATGAGAATCAACAAGAAGTTATCATAAAAAAAAAAGTCGTTATTATCATTTTGATAACAAATAATTTCATATTAAATTTTATCTATGAAAAATTCTAAGTCTTTAAATGTAATTTTTTCCTATGGTTTATATCATTACCCTTGAAAACAAGTGACTGTGGTCGGTTTCTAATTTCTTTGCACTGGATGCAAAATCTTTAAAGGTTGCGCTGTAGCTCATAGGATATGGCTATAACGCGGATTGCGTCTGCCCTCAAGTTACCGCGCAGAAAAAGCCGAGATTCAAACGTACGGCACTAATTAATGGTTTAATGCCACATATCTATGGAGAAAAACTCGGCTTCTTGTCTCATTTCCTGTTCACTTGACTTCTACTTTTCTTAGCCAAGCAATTAACGAAACGCATAGAAAGGGGATATCTCATATCATAAGTTTAACAGTATTTTGCTCCTTTTCTTAAAAAAAAAAAAATAACTACACTGGTTTAGTTCTCATATTTCACAAATACAGTGAGTCTCTTCGTATGTATTAGTATATATAATTTTGTCAACTCAACTATTTTTATTAAAGAAACTACGTTTTAATACAACTATAGCTTTATAAATTTTTGGATAGGCTAAAATATACATTTAATCATTTAACCTTACATAACATTTCATTTTAGTTTTTAACTTTATAAAGTATTTTTTAATTAATCTTTTAACCCTAACATTGTTTGTTTTATCCTAACAAATTTTTACATTAAATTTTTAAATATTAACAAAATATTTTTAAAATAATAATAATTGACACAAAAAATAATCACTTGAAACTAACAATATTGAGGTTAAAGGACTAAAAAAATATTTTACAAAATCACAAGACCAAATTAAAATCTTACATAAAATTAGAGGATAAAAAGTAAGTTTAGCCTCTTGGATATTAATCTTCAACATAGATGTGATTAATGATATTTATTTTGGAAAAAGCAGAATATTTATTATTAATGCATCGTATGGATATGTCGTATAAAAAGTTAGTTAATATGTCGTATACATATGTATAATAGTTTAATAATTTAAACTACTTCAACTATTTCGGTTTAAGATACAACGGTGGTTAACATCTAAAGTCCCTTTCATCCCCCAACTCTAAGTTTAAACTTGAAACCCCTGCACTCAATTTCTTTATTGGGCCAAGCCCCTGCGATTTATGATCAATCCATAGCACAATATAACATTAACAAGGTCCGGACATATTGTTATAATTAGCAAACGGCCAGACCAGGCCAGCTTATGTACTATTCATTCCTAAAATTAAACCTATGCATTTGGGAGTTCTATTTGATCCCACTGTTCTTGTAATCATAAGTTGGATACCTACGTACACTGATCAAGTTATTATATATGCTAAACAAATCGCAACCTTCAGAAAATGTTCTGTTCATATTATCTCATTATTTTGAATCCAATTAACATGAAGTCCACATTTTAAGACATCTCCCATTTGCTTTCTTTGCAAAAATGCTTCCACAACATGTACAGAGATTTTAAGGCAGCATCAGATCTCATTACATATGGGGGCTCCCAAGCCATGAGGTTATCATGAGATTGAGAAACATTGAAAATTCCCTTCCTTCTCATATATTGACAAAAGGTTCTCGCTTAGAATTTCTAGCTCTATTCTACAAGTTTCATCCATCTGCAGAAACACCAGAGTAGGCCCTTTACAATCAGCTCAGAAATTTAGATGATAAAAATACATGTTGTTAGAAATTAAGCAACCTGCAAAGATCTAATAAAAAACATGTTAGCAATGAAACATACCTGCAAGTGCAAGTTATAGAAGATCCTTTGTCCAGAGGTCGCAATGGTCGAAGCATTTAGCGGTAAAAGCCCTTCCTTTTCTAAACACAGCAATATCTCAGAGAAAGGAGTTCTGTGGAGCTTGTCAGAGGAAATCTGAATAACAGCTTCATTATCATTGAGCCTTCTCGTTGAAACTACACAAGAAGTTGCAGCGCAGCGATGAGCCATTTTCCTACGAGATTCTTGGCATGCCGCGTCTCCTACCGGAGAGATTCTCAACAACAGCTCCTCCTTTTTCTTGACAAGCCCTTCCACTTGCCGCTGTAGCTCCGGTATGTACTTTAGGACTCGTGAAATTGTTGCCGGAATGCTTAACTTTTTCTACAACCATAAAATCGAAAATTATCATTTTATCAATTTATCGACCACTGATCATTAGCTTCTAAGTTGTAACTCTCTTCGGGGTCGTGTGTATGATGTAAACATGATTGGTTTCTGATATAACGAAGTCTCCTTCCCCCCCCCCCCCCAAAAAAAAAAAAAGCAGGTTAAAGCTCATAGCTTCTGATGACTTTCTGAATAAGTAGCGAATTAGGTCAAAACATACATGAAAAGGAAAGAATAGAACATCCAATAATTAGGGCTTGATATTAAGATCCAGTATCCATTTTCTCTGCCCTTTCTTTCTTTCCCCACCTTCCTCCGGACATCTATAAGTCCAGTGATCTCTACTAATCAGTGATTTGATCATGACGAAAAATTGTAGGGGGGAGGAAGAGGAAAAAAAAAAAAAATAAGTACCGGTTGATCAGTCAAAGGAAGCATTGAACAAAGCGAGGAATACAAGCTGTTGATCTTCTTGCGACGATCGCGTTCAGTAGCATTGTGGTTAAGCTTTTTGACCATGGTAGGGTCTCCGCTTACGGCAAGCGATACTGGCGTAGATCTCTGAACCTCCTCAGCCTCAGCCTGAACCTGATGATCTGGTGGCGAGCAACTGAACTGAAGAGTAGCTGATCCGTCTTTGTAAAACAAGTTCTGATCATTATGACTCGTGGGTTCCTCCAAGGCCCACTCAATGGGTGCGAGCAGAGAAGGCGACAAAGCCAACATCCTGGGATTAGTTAGGAGCTGTTAACAAGTTATCGGTAATTAATATCAATGGTGACCATTTATGACTAGCATATATGCATACAACTTTATAAACACTCATCCCGCGTAAGAATCCGTTTTCTTTAATGCGCGAAGACGTAACGAATGATTGTTTAAAATTAAAAATGAATGCAAGTGTAGTAATTAATATGTTTGCTTTTGATATATTCATAGTTTTTTTAACAGTTAAATCATTGTAATAATAATACATTACACTAGGATGAGCAGTGGTTGATTCGATCGGTACGCATGGGAACGCATGTCCGCAACGTGTCACCTGTGCTTTACTGCGTGGAATGAGGAGGAAGAACGTGGATGGAAATTAACCTAAAACGTCACTCGATTTGTTTGCTTTTGGTTCAATTGCCTTGATCCGTCATATGAAACTTCCGAACATTTTTCCTTTACTTTCAATTCATAGTCAATGGAACCTAGAGAAGGGAAGAAAAAGAAATTAATTAAGAAGGTGTGGTAAGTTTTTGACATGTAGAAAGAATAATAGAGGAGAAAAAGTAAACTAATTAACTTCCCTGTGTTTGAGAATTAGAGAGATCAGTGATATTAAAGTATGAATTTGGTTTCAGGCCTAGGAGTAGGGTTTGTCTAAAAATTAAATTAAGCCACACAATTTTCCACGTGTCAACAAAAATTAATATATAATGAAGTGATTATATTTATATGATGAAGGATGAAGGCTGTGAAATGGGGAAGTGCGCGTGGGGAGCATGACATCCACGAGCCATTAGTGTGCTCACCACTGCTTTGCACAATTTGATTAATTAAACTACAAGTATTAAAGGTGGCCCTTCAAATTTGGTGGATGGGAATTACACCGATCTCTAATTATATAAAATCCTCTCCTTCTTATCATTTGCGTCAGTTAAATAAGGTAGCGCCAGTATTATTTATAAAATATTGAGTTTTTAAAGCCTCACTTAAATGTACTTAGCTTGTATGGCGTTCGTATGTATATCTTTCACTTTCTCTTGTTTCCACCTCCATTTCTTTAACTTTTCTTTATCTATCTATCTTGATTCAGATTATTTTATAATTTTTCACTCCAGGTTATCTTAATAAGCTTCTCTGTTTCTCATAACCCAAGGCTTAGCAGAAATCACAAATCAATGAAAACGTAACAGAAGTTTTCAAATAAACCTATTGGACCTCTGACTGACTTATATATAATAGAGAAGCTGCGGGAGAGTAGTGTTCACGTACTAGGTTTTCGTTTCTTCCCCCTTTTTTTTCCTTCTTTTTTTTTTAATTCCACGATCTGACTGATCTTGCGCGAGCATCTGACTCACATGTGTGTGTGCGTATCTATAGACATGTAAATCTTTCAAAATAAATTCGTAAGTTGCGTTGGCACATTTTTAGAACGATAAATTGAATAAACATGACTCATATATTAAGGAACGTTGATACGGGCCAACTCATTTAAAAGAAACCAATAAAAGTCATTAATGGTGCTGCCTTTGCTGTATAACTCATTGAATTTTGATGTTCTTTTTTCCATGCATGTGACGTTCTAATAATAACGAACATTCAATCATACCTGTGGTGATACAACGGAAAGAAAACGAAGGAGCGAAAGTTTTTGGCCAAAAAAAAAAAGAGAGAAAGTTGAAATATATATATTATATACACAACATTGATTCCCTTTTTTCATTTCCTATACTCCTCTAATCTTCTTTATAAGTCATTTTTACCAACCTTATCAATACCAATATAAAAAAAGTACAAGAAATAAAAGTGCATAGAATTTTAAATATATTCTTATATATCAAAGCTAAAAAATAATGTCATGTTACTTTTCTCGAAGGATACTTTTAAAAATATCTTTTAAATATTATCTAAAAAATTGCATTGTGATTTATAAATGGAATCAAATATACATTCTAAAATGTAATTTATAAATGAGACTAGAGGAAGTATACAACTATGTCTGCTATAAGAATGGTAAAACTCCCTCTAATCCCTTCCTTATCCAGAAAATGTACTAAATTGATGTAATCTGATTGCTTTGTATCTAACACATGAGGTCCACATGTAAGAACAACTCCAATTTGCTTCTCCACAAAAATGTTTCCACATGTACAGATTTCCGGGCATCATCAGGTTACAAATGGGCTCCCAAATTATTAGGTCATCATCATATTTAGAAACATTGAAAATTCCCTTCCTTCTTATCATATATTGACAAAATCTTCTCACTTAGAACTTCTGGCTCTATTCTACAAGTTTCATCCATCTGCAGAAGCACCAGATCAGGCACTTTATAAGCTCGGAATTTAGGTAATAGAAATACGTGCATGTTATTAGCTAGAAATTAAGCAAACCTGTTAATAGAATACATGTTAAAAATGAAGCATACCTGCAAATGCAAGTTATAGAAGGCCCGTTGTCCAAAGGTCACAAAGGTGGAAGCGTTTAGCAGTAAAAGCCCTTCTTTTTCTAGACACAGCAATATGTCAGGAAAAGGAGTTTTGTGGAGCTTGTCAGAGGAAATCTGAATAACAGATTCATTATCATTGAGTCTGCTTGTTGAAACTACACAAGCAGTGGCAGCGTAGGGATGAACCCTTTTCCTTTGAGATTCTCTGTTTGACGCATCTCCTTGCCGAGAGATTCTCAGCAAAAGCTCCTCCTTTTTCTTAATAAGACCTTCCACTTGCTGCTGTAGCTCCGGTATGTACTTAAGGATTCGTGAAATTGTTGCTGGAATACTCAACTTTTTCTGCATCCATTAAATTGCAAATTATAATTATATCTAGAGACCAAAACCGCAAAACACACATCGACATGTCCGGTAGTGGTCTATAATAATCAGTGATATGACCCAAATGAAAATTGGTATGGGGGAGTAAGAGAAAAGTACAGTTTGATCAGGCAAAGGAAGCATAGAACGAAGCGAGGAATACAAGCTATTGATCTTCTTGCGACGATCTCGTTCACTAGCATTGTGGTTTAGCTTTTTGACCATGGTAGGGTCGCCGCTCACGCCAAGGGATACTGGCGTAGATCTATGAGTCTCCTCAGCCTCAACCTGACGAACCTGATAATCTGGTGGCGAGCAACTAAACTGAAGAGTGGCTCCGTCCTGGTAAAACAAGTTCTGATCATTATGACTTGTGGGTTCTTCCAAGGCCCACTCGATGGGTGCAAACGAAGAAGGCGATAAAGCCAACATCCTGCGATCAGCTTAGGAGCTTTTAGCGAGCAATTGCTGATTGCATCAGTGGTGACTCGTCATGAAAAGAAGTGTGTGTGTATATATAACTTCATAAACACTCATCCTTCGTAAGCAACCGTTTTCTTTAACGTTTCGAAGACTTAAAGAATGATTGTTAAAAATTAAAAATGAATACAAGTTTAATAATTAATTTGCTTACTTAATTTATATATATATATATATAGCTGTTTAACTTTCAGGTGAGACATCGTAATAGTATAATACATTACACTGGGATGGACAGTAGTTGATTCCGTCGGCACGCATGGAGGCGCATGTCCGCAACATGTCACCTATGTGTTAGTGTGTGGAACGAGGAGGAAGAGTGTGCATGGATGGAAACCTGACACATCACTTAATGATCATTTGCTTTCTCATATGAAATTTCGAAACATTTTTCCTTAATTTAGTAGAAACCTATAGAAACAGAGAAAGGAAGACACAAAGAAGATGTGGCATTTTTGATCGAGGTCTCACGTACGTGAGAAGTCTCTGACAGAAATAATGGAGAAGAAAAGGTAAACTAAACTTCCTTGTGTTCGTAGATAAAAAAAATACTGAAGTATGGATATTTGCTCGCAACTTGGTGGCAGGTCTAGCAGTGGGGTTTGTGTTATAATAATTAAATTAAGCCACACAGTTGTCCATGTGTCAATGAAAATTAATATACAATGAAGTGATTGTACAGAAAATGAAGGATGAAGACTGTGAGATGGGGAAGTGCGCGTGGGGAAGCATGACATCCACGAGCCATTAGTATGCTTAACACTGCTTTGCACGGTTTTAATTAATTAAAGGTGCCATCCAGACTCATTGGATAAGAATTACTGAACACCGATTATACGTAATTTCTCTCCTTCCTATCATTTGCGTCATTTAAATAAACTAACTTCAATAGTTATAAAGTACTGAGCTTTCTCGATCAGCCCCACTTTATTGTCCTTGTATTCTCGATCGAGTCTGATGCGGAGTGTATATACATGTCCTTCGTTTTCTTTTGTTTCCCACACCTTTTTTCTGTTTAAACTCTTCTTTTGAATCTTTCTGTATTCAGATATACTTATTTAATCATTTTCTTTTCAGATGATATTAAATAAACTTCTATTTCTCTTAACCCAAGGTTTGGCACAAATCACAAATCACAACAACAAAATATCACATTTCTCTTAAAATTATTTTGACAGAAAATATAAAAATTTTATTTTCCTCTAATTCCCTTCCATCTGTGGGCCATGTCAAGTGTGTATTTATTTTACAAATATATGGCATACCTTGAAGTAGACAAGCTTATAAAAAATGTGAACCAAAGCAATATACTTGCATATTATTCTTGCAATTAGTAAGCCTGCAACTTAATATTATTTTTTATGGTCACTTAATTAATTTTATATATTTTAAAACTACATAAAATATATCATATGTATTAAATTACATAAATAATTTTTCTCAATTGAAAAAAATGAAATATAATGCAATTTAATGCTATAGATAGTTTATTAGTAAACTTTATTATATACTATAGATGTTAGTGAATGTATGAAAAATTAATATTAATGTTATTATAGGAGTAAATCATAATAATATATTATATAATAATATAATAATCTCACATAGGCTCTCTCTCTATACATAATATTATTTTATTAACACTATTTCATGCTTCTCACCTCTACTCTCAATTTTTTTTAATTGCATAAATGTACTTTCTCATTTTTTTATGGAAAAAAACATTTCTTTCAGCTTAATCAGAGAAAAGTTATCTCTAATATGTCCAAGAGGAATTTTCTTTCGAGGAAAGCCGATAAAATATTTCTCTTGACTTAATTAAAAAGAAAATTTTCTCAACTTTTTTTATGGAACATTTCTCTTAATATTATCTAAGAGAACTCGTTGAATTTCTCTTGAATTTTTCCATGAGATAACTTTTCTTGAACAAATTTGAGAGAAACTTAATGAAATTTCCTTTTTTTTCTTATCAATTTTTGTTTTTGTCAAACATTTCTCAATGGTTTTATTAAGAGAATATTTCCCTGCCGTTAAGTAGGCATTAATATCTAGAATTTCATAACATTTTATCATGTTTTTTTTAGATTCTAATATATTTTAGCTCAATTGCATATATTTTAATTGCCTAAATTAAGAAAATATATATTTTGTTTTGGTTTTGCATACTTTGCTTTAATTTAATATTTTTGGGCTAAATTTATGTTATTTTGATTTAAGGTTTGATTAGCTACATTTATGAACTTTTGTTGATACTTTTAGAAGGCTTTTGGATGAAGAAATTTAGTGCAAAAAGGCTAAGTTTTGTTAACAATGAAAACAGTGCAAAATTGCCAAAGTCGTCTCAAAGTCACAATTTTTGCCACTGTTAGTAAAATGCTCTATTTTCTTTATCTGAAAGTGCTTGGGTAGGATTAGTATTGGGCAAATGGGTTACGAACCAACCTGCGGGCTAGCCCACGCGGGCTGGCATTTTTGCAAATTGGGTTAGGCCAGCCCGCCAAATAAAACGGGCTAAAAAATCTAACCCAGCTCATTTTCTAGTGGGCTAGCCAATCTGCGTGCTGGCCAACAAAAAATTATTAAAATTTTTTTAATAATTTAAAATTTATATAATATAAATATATATTTATTTCATATTTTAAAGTTAATTAGCAATTAAAAAACTTGTAAATAAATAAAATAAACATAGAATTCAACCAAGCAAATTGATTTTGCTAGATTTTTATTATCAATCATCTTCTCGCCTAAGTGTGTTATCTTTGTCACTAAGAAAAAAAATTTAAACATAAACCTATATTATTTTTCTCAGTGAATTCGTATTTATAATTTCAATCAATAGATCTTATGACATTAATAAATAATATATATTCAAAATATTTCTATAAAAACTAATAAATCATCTTCACAAACTATAACAAAAATTTTATTTGTAAATTGTAAAAAATGATTTACACTATACTTCAAATGTAAAGAATATATTTGAAAGTCATAAATTATATATTTAAGAAATATTATCATTATTGTAGATTTATAAAAAGATATAATGTAATTAAAAAATAAAAAATTATTTTTAAAAAAATATGCAAGCCTGCAGGCCAGCCGTTTTAGCCCGCTATTTTTGCAGGTTGAGTTAACCCAGCCCATTTTAAAAAATAGGTTAATTTTTTTTACCTAACCTATCAAATTGTACGAGTTAAACGAGTTAGCCTACAGGCTCAACCCATTTTCCCGACTTTAGGTAGGATACATATATACTAAGAGCTTGGCCCAAAACGTATTCTTCTTACTTTAAGACATATTTGGAGCTTAGATGTGTTAGAATTCGAGCATTGAAAGAGTTAGAATTAAGAGATTAAAATTTTGAAGACATTTAGAGCTCATTTTCTTTAATTTTTCTATTCATCCTTCCTTTTCTCTCTTGTAGTCTAAATGGATTCAAATATTTTGTGCATTTGTGATTAGTGAAAGATTATAAGTAGTTAAACTCTTTATTCTATAGGATTATTTGAAACCTTTGCATGGATTAACACTACATTTCTCATCTATTTTTGTGATTAATGATATGTATGTATGTATTTATTTATTTATTTTACTCTTTTTTTAATGCTTTTAAGTGTTTGGCTATCATTTAAATGTTGAGTTCATTTGATGATGGTTGAAAGGGCTAGGTTGAGTGTAAAACTTGGATAAAATAGTGCAAGAATTTGATGTTTACATGTTAAATAGATAGTTTTTCTAGTAAGATAGAGATATATTTGCAAGCCTTGCATGGCCATATAATTAGGGTTGGTGCTTAAAATTGAATTTTATTAATTATAATAAGAGATTGGGCAATTAATTTAACAAAATGCTAGTTCATGGCTTACGAGAGCTTGTCTAAATATTTTTAAAACCCTAAATTAGCACTTATTTTTATTAAAATCATTCATGAGAGAATGTATTTTTGATGTTATGAGATACAAGGGGGATAAATAAATCTTATGTTTCATTTTGTGCTTGAAGTTTGTGAATTAATTTCTTTTCTTTATTTTCTTGAGTTAATTTAATTTGCTAAATTAACTTTCTCTTATAATTGTATTTGGCTCAACTTGATCTAACTTTCTTAGACTTTTGCTTGATTAGTGTTTTTAAACAAATCCTCAAAAATGATACTTTACTCTCATTAAATTAGTACGACTCATGCACTTGCGGAGTACAACAACAGATTTTTTTCTCTTTAATTTTCTCTCAAAATTTCTCTCTATTTAGTATTTGGTGAGAAATTTTGTGATTAAGTTTTTAGAAGAGGCTTTTTGAGAGAACTTCTCTCCAATATTTTTTCTAGGAAAAAATTCTACGAAAATATCACTGTTTTCTTATAGTGAATCAATATGGACAATTTAGCAGAAGTAGTTTTCAAATACAAACCCATGGGACTTCTCCAAGTGACGGGGGAATAGAAGTTGTAGTAGAAGGGTCCAATTTGGGTGCTCATCATGTAATTTAGACAGTCCAAATTAATAATTTTTATTTTATTTTTTATTTTATAATTATTAAATAATAATTATAAAAAATAATAAATATATTTTATTATCAATTTGTACAATACAAATTTAATTTATGGTTCAATTTAGTATTAAAAGTTGCTAAAAATTTTATAAATTAATTATCTAGAATTGTTCTGGAAGTCTAGTTTTAAAATTTTTAACTCACATTCTATTTTTTAAAATGTCAATTTAGATATTATATTTATTTTTAATATTATTATTACTAAAATAAAAATTATAAAGATTCTAAAAAAATTGAATGTTAAATTTAAAATGTTCCTCATAAGTCTGGATAGTAAATTTGTAAAATTTATAAAAATTTTATTATTAAATTGGATAGTCATTATTTTTTGTATAAAAAATAAAAATTACTTTGTTAAAATTAAATCGTTATTATTCAAATAGCTAATAAGGTATATTTATTAAATTTTTTATAATTTTTATTTTTTGTATTAAATAAAAAATAAAAAATTGTAAATCTAGACAATCT